GCCAATGTCCAGGCAGGCGCTGGATCAGCGTTGGGCCCTTCCCACCCCGGGAGCGAGGGAGGTGGCCCAGGCAGGGCTATAAATTCCGTAGCCTGACGTTGACTCTCCTCCCGCCCTGCCCGTCCTCGGCTGTTTCTTCTGAGCTCTTGGTGAGTTTGCTTTTTTTTTTCCCTTTTTTTCCTCTAATCTCCACCCCCCCCTCACCCTATTGACCCTCCAGATGTTCTCCAGATGTTACTGCAGACCCATCCCACAATAGGATCCCTCTGTAGAGCTTTTCCCCTTGGGGCTGAGCGTGAGGTTGAGATCAGAGGTTGCATTTTCACTTCCAAGGGTTGGAAAAGTGTGTGTGACCCTTCCCTGCCCGGCTCGGGAAGGAGGGAGCTGCTGCCTCTCCCCATGTTCTCCCCTCCGGCATGGGGAGAACCTCCATGCTCCACACTTGGCACCGGTACCAGACGGCAACACCCAGCCCGGCTGCTGGTGGGAGGGTGAAATTAAGGAGGAAATGGTGATGGATCCTGGTGTGTGCCCAGGAGTGGGGGCACCAGAGCCACCTGCATGGTCCAGGGAATGTGTTGTGTGGGTCATAACATGGCCCACATGTTCTCTAGGGAGCCCCAAGGGATGCACCTGTCCTTCTCAGTCCCTGTGCCCATCCCTTGATTTGCACCTTGGTCCCCAGACAGTCCAGGGGGCTGGAGGAGACCATCAGCCCTCCAGCATGGGGTTATCTGAGGACACCAAGCTCTGCTCTCACTCATGTCTCCAGGTTCACTGGCATCCCCCATGGCGAGTCCCCTGGAGCAGGCGTTGGCCGTGATTGTCTCCACCTTCCACAAGCATTCGGGGAATGAGGGGGACAAGTACAAGCTGAACAAGACGGAGCTCAAGGAGATGCTCATGAAGGAGCTGCCCAGCTTCAGTGTAAGTATGGGGCAGGGGCTACCACGTCCCATGGGCAGTGCCAGGACCTGGGGATGTCACCCTTGATGTAAAACCCTTTTTTAACCCCCAATCTTACCCCTGGACAGAAACAAACCAGTGAGACCAGCTTACAGCAGCTCATGTCCCACCTGGACTGCAACAGCGACAACGAGGTGGATTTCCAAGAGTACGTGACCTTCTTGGCCTGCATGGCCATGATGTGCAACGACTTCTTCCAGGACTACCCCGACAAGATGCCACGTAGGAAGTGAGCACGGGGCACCAGCCCTGAGCTGCATCACCATCCCCATGACCCTCCCGTTGTCTTCTTGATGCTTTTTCAATAAAAGTTGCTTTAAACCAAGTCCTCCACGTGCTTTGCAAAAGGGGTTTCTTGCCATGGGGACATGGGGGTTGTCACATTGGAGAAGACCCCGTTTCCATTCCACCTGTACGTTGTAGGTACCAGATAACGAGCGAGAAGAAGAGCACTTCCAAGCTGGAGTTTGCTCTACCACAGTGTGGACACTGTGTTCCCTGAGGTCTCATAAAACCACCCATGGGGTTGATCCCCACCAGCCAGGTTAGCGTGAGTCAGTGACGGGCAGGGCAGGAGCTTCTACAGGGATGAGTAACTCCAACCACCAACGGATGAACCACTTGGGTTTTTACTTTTTAGCCAGAATTATGAAGCTCACATGGGGGTCAATAACTGTCCCTCAACCTGCTGCTCCATGGGGCAGGACCTGTTGCGTTGGGAAGTCACCCAGGAATCCTTGTCCTGTTCCTACCCCAAGTGAACCCTTGGGGAACAGGTTTTCTGTTGAGTTCCTGCTCAGGGTGGGGTTCTGGTGTGCAGAGGAGTGTCTTCCCCTGTCCACCCAGCCAGCCCCTCCCCCGCTAACATGGGAGGACTCAACCAGCAGCTATAAATAAGAGGAACTGTGCAGCCACATCCCTCCCTTCCCCATTCCACAGCCTGTCCTGCTCACATCTGAAAGTCTCCATTTCCTCCCTCTGATCCCTTTTTCCATCTGTGGTCAACATGAGCTCCAGATGTTCCATGTGTCCCTTACAGATACGGAAGCCAGATCTTCATCCATCAGCTTGGGGTTGCTCCTGGAGGTACCAGTGAGTGGAGATACCACAAAGACTTCACTTCATCCAGCCCCAGCTTTGCCCATCTCCCCAGGGTGCCCCAGGGAGGTGACCAGGAGCCACATTTGGGCTGCACCCCAAGAGTCACCCTGGAGCCAACGTCCCCAGCTGATGCAACACCCTGGAGCTGGCATGACAGCAGGGATGGAAGGTGTATCTGGGGGGCTGTGCTGAGCTGGGGCTGGAGGGGTTTTGACCCCTCGAGGGTTGCAGAGCATCTCCTGGGGTGGAGAAGGAGTGATACTCTGGGTGCTCCCCAAGGCTGGACCAGCTCCTGTCTCCTCGTTGACCTCTTCTCCATCCCTGTGCTGCCCACAGCTGTGGCATGGACAGGACCTGGACCATAACAAAGATGATGAAGTGAACTTCTAGGAGTACATCACCTTCCTGAGGACCTTGGCCATGGTCTACAGTGATGCTCTGAAGGAATGGAAAATAGAGAACTGGGTCAGCTGGTGGGTGAGGGACCCCAGGGACCTTTTAGGGTCTTTTTGTAAGAACCTTCACTGAAGTTTTTGATAAGTTCCTATTATAAAATTTTTCAGCTCCATTTTTGAACCTTAAATCAATGAAAAGCTTCCAGGTGGCTCCGTTTTCTCCCTTGCTGGGGGTGGGACTCAGCAAGGGGCTGGTTTGCCAGGAGACCAAAATGGAAGCTCATCTTCTTGTTCTCCCAAATAAAGGGTGTAGGGGTTCCACAAACCTCAACTTCTAAGATCCAACACTCACCTGAGCATCAATATCAAGATAAAAAAATAATGATCCATCCACACCTGAGAAGGTGGTTGCACCACAATGACATCCCAGAAGCAGGTGAAGGGGACACCCCTTACAAGCTCTTGGCCCTTTTTCTACCTGATTTGTGACCATCTGAAGCTGGTGTGATGCTCCTCACAAGCATCCCAACCTGCCAGCATCCTACCACCACCCTGCCACTGTGTCCTCGGGGTTGTACCAGCTCCATCCCATATGGTACCAACACTCCCAGCCTCAAGGCTGCACTTAGCCATGGAGAAGATACCAACACCCCATGGCAGCTCTTACACCAAAGCATGGGCTGCCACATGCCAGGAGCTCCTGGTGTGTGGGCACGTGGCATCCGTGGCTGGTTGGGCAGTAAATGTCAATATGAGGACCCACGGCGCACGCGTGTCTCCTCCCATCTCCCCACACATGGCACAGGCATGTCCCTTCTCACCTCCCCACGCGTGTCCCATCACGTCTCGCTGCCGTTGGACCCGTGTCCCTCTGATCAGCCCCGCTTGGCTCCCGTCTCATCACACAACCCGGCCCTTTGTTTCCCTCTTTTGCAATTGAGGCTTTTTCTGGCACTCGTTGCTCACGCTCCTGGATTAGGAAGCTGATGAGGAGATGTTTCATCATCATCATCATCATCTGTCCTTCTCATCTCCCAAAAGCCTTAACGGCTGGGAATGGGCTTTTTGCCAGACCCATCCCACCAAGCTTCTCAAGGAGTCACAGACCTCCTTGGGCACAGCTCACAGCTCCAGCATAGGGACATCCACGGGCTGCAGATGGGTCTTTGGTCCAGTGCACACCTCCTCCTCTCACTCTGGGGGTCCACCTTGGGTCTGGGGGTCTCCTTGCTCATCAAACAAGCACTCAAGGTCACACCTGCCCTCAGGCTTGGCTTTGTGCTCCAGCATGGAGTCCTCCATGTAGGGTATGTGTTCTGCCGTTGAACTTCCATGGGCTGTAGGAGACCTCATTGACCTTCTCCCACTGATCTGCTGTCTGAGGTTCTCTGTCCTCCCCTTCCTGCTCCTTCCTCATGGTGATGATTCTCTCCTCTTTGTTCAGGTGTCTTCTGTCATGTCTTTTGTTCAGGTCAGTGGCCTCTCCTCCAGGTTCTCTCCTCCCCTTTCTTTTCAAAGTTCTTCTCTCATCAATATTGATTCAAAGAGGCATTTTTTCTACTGCTGATTGACTCAGTCTGGACTGGAGGTGGGTACACCTTGTAGCCATGAGACCTTCAGGAAGTTTCTCACAGGGACCATCCACGTAGTTCCTTCCCCACACACAAACCCAAAACACTTGAGGAGGTGAAGGGCTTGGACATCCTGGAGCAGAGGCTCCTCACCAACCTCCCCAAATTGTCCTTCCCAAAAATACACAGGGTTTAGCAACCAGTTCCAGGCACTGGGAACGTCATGAGGTGTCCTACAAGTTGTAGCATCCCTCCCCCAATGCCGATGCCCTTGGTTATCGTCAGGCAGCAATTAGAGCTGCTGGGAAATGTCGCGGCCCAAGACTGGTTGGCAGGTTTCCGCCACCCTGACGTGCTCAGATTTGTAATGTCTTTCTCTAGTCCCTGGTTAAGAAATGATTCAGGAGGAACTCTACTCATGGTTTTGGAGAGGTGACTAAAGGGTGGGATACGTTGGTTATCTCCCAGCACCCGTACAACAATGTGTTGGGGGCAGACACCACATCTCCAGCCAAATTCAACATCATCAGGTTGATCAGTGATGAACCAAATGTCCCATTGGGGAAAAAAAACCCATCATCATCCCACTGGAGACCTTCAGCTTTTCCATAATCTGGAAAAAAAATTCCACTTCCATCATCTCCTCAAAGATCTCCAAACTCTACAGGAACATCCCAACTCTTGGGAAAGTTCCTACACTGTCACTGACCCACCATGTCCCTACAAATGTTTCTTTTGGTGGTTCCTTGTTTTGCTCTAACGAGTTTGGTGTGTCTCCTCCCTTGTTAACAAGTAGGAGCTGCCAGTTCCTGGAGCCAGGTAAGAAATTGCCTCCTGGGCGTGATGCAGAACCTTGCACAATTCCTGGGGTTATCACCCCGCAAAAAAATTTGAGGGTGTCACAAATCGTAGCTCAAAGAGAGTATAAAAGAGACCTCACCTTCACCACACCATCACTGCTCCTGCCTGCTCCTCTCCTCCCCGTGCATCACCGCCTGCAGAAGTCAACCTCAGAGTTGCTCATAGGTAAGTAGGTCTTTGCCATATGGTGGTTTCAGGCTTTGGGGTGCTGGAAGTGCCATCAGCATGAGCCCAACTGGGCAGCCAGAGCCTGGATGGGCTCCTGGAGGAGAAGGAAGGTCCTTCTCCTCTGATGGAGTTCAATATTTTGCTGTTTGTCTCTCCCTAGCAAAATGAAAACCGACCTGGAGCTCGCCTTGGAGTGCATCGTCAACGTCTACCACCAGTACGCCGTGAAGAACCCCATAGATGACTACCTGAGCAGGTCTGAGTTCTCAGAGCTGCTGCAGGAGACTGCCAAGCCCTTCCTCCACAACACTCTGCCGGTAAGAGCCAAACATCCCCCAGGTCTCCTTAACGCTGGTGAGACCTCGCAGGAGCCATGACCTCCTTGAGGCATCAGGGTGGCCAAGAGCCTCCCAAAAGGGAGGGGGGTTTTTTTTCTAAGGTTCTCTTAGAACTTTGCAATTCTTGCTGGGTGAGCCTTGTGTCATAGCTGCAGGCTGACTCTGAACCTCTCCTGTGCTTCATGGTGACTCTTTTTTCCACATTTGTCCTCCTGCAGCCTAACACATCCGTTGATAGCTACATCAACAAGCTCTTCAACAAAGCAGATGCCAACCATAATGGTCGCCTGAAGTTCACCGAGTTCCTGACCACACTGACTCTTGTAGTCATTGATGCCCACAACAGGTCTCATGAGCATCACGGGAGCCACGACCATCATCCAGGTGATGGTCATGGCCATGGCCACAGCCATGACCATGGCCAAGGTCACAGCCATGACCACGGCCATGGTCCCTGCAACTGAAGCTGTTCCCTGGGTGACTGTGTCCACAAGATTGTGCTCTCCCAGCAGCACCATCCCTTCCATTTGTCCTCAACCACAGACAAACCTGTAACCAAAGCTTTGTGTCATCTGCTTCTGCCCATGGCATTGAAATAAAGATTCTTTCTTCAAGCACCAAATGCATCTGTATTATGTGACCTCTTGTCTCCAGGGAGGATGCAACCTGCATCCAGCCCGTGGTGGTGGTGGTGGGGTTAAAATGCAGATTGAACTGGAGAAGCAATGGGAAAGAGAAGGTGGGATGAGGAGACCCTGCTCCCTGCAGAACAAGGAGCGAGGACAACAGTGTTGCTGGGTTCCAGTTGAGCCACATAGGATGTGTGGGCTTCCTGGCCTGAAGCATGTCAGACCCTGGATGCTCCCACCACCTTCCCAAGGTTCAGCACGTTCTTGGTACAGGGTGGTTGACCCCAACACCCTTCATCCCATTGGGTTCCCTGTACAGGGTGGTTGACCCCAGCACCTTCCACCCCATTGGGTTCCCTGTACAGGGTGGTTGACCCCAGCACCCTTCATTCCATCATGCTGGGGAGGTTCCTGGGTAGGGTCAGTCAGTGGCTGCACAAGAACATCCTCAGTGCTGGTTCTTCTGGTGCCTCTTTGCACCAGCTCCAGGATGTACCAAGGGTCCAACACAGCAGGGAGTTGCCAAGACCCAGCTCTGGAGGTGGAGGTGCAGCATCTTGGGGTGCACACAATGCTTTGGCAACCCACAAAGCAACCAACTCTTATCTTGCAAGCCCCAACACAACAATGAACAAGGCTGAGGAGCTCCAGAGAGCTGGTGTTAACTCCAAACAATAAAGTAAGATGTTTTTATTAGTGTGGGACAACAACCCCCCAGGTCACAGCACATTTAGAAACCACTGTGGGCTCCTCTGGAGGAGATACATGAGTGGAAAGGAGCTCCAGTGATTGTGCACTGAATGGGAAACCCTCAGGCTCAGGAGGCTCTGAAATTTCCAACGTCAAATGAAACCAGAAGCTTGTCCCACGTGAAACGGAAGCGTGGGGCTGTTGCCTGGTTATTTGCACTTGATGACCCAGGTGGCCACTCTCTGGCTCTACAATTTTGCCATTGATGAGCAGCTCTTGAAACCCAAGAACCAAACATTTATCTACTGTTCTACCAGGACAGCCAGGTGTCACTTAGACATGGTTCCTCTTGTAGGACTGAGCATCATGAGCTGCCTCCCCTACAAGTTTTGAGGAGCACCACTGGGAAAGACAGGAATTCTAGTGGAAGGTGTCCATGTTCATGGCAGAAAGGTTGGACTAGATGATCTTTAAGGTCCCTTCCAACCAAAACCATTCCACGAATTCAGAGTCCACTGATCTATCTGCACGTGGACTACACAAAAAAACCCAACCATTGCAAAGCCAGCTGGAGAATGAGGATGTCAGTTTGGATTGTCCACCATCTTTAATGAGTAGAGCAGGAAAAACAATTAAAAAATAAAAAGTAATAAAATGAGTCAGGGATCCCAGACGAAAACTCATGGAAGAGTTCTCGATACTGCCTCTGGGACACGTAAGAAGCATCCACCTCAAACAGGAATGGTTACCTGCTCCTACCCTCTTCCTGGAACCTATTGTCTTCTTTTTCAATCTTTACTTAATCTCTTAATTCTTCTGGTACCTGTTCTGCTCACGTAAGACAGGTGACACAGAGGTGACTCTTGCAAAACACTCCTTAGATAATGATCCAACCAAGAAAGACCCTGACCTTGGATTTTCTTCTGGTTTTAGACTCATTTTCCTTCACCAAGTTTCTAGAATCATAGAATGGTTTGGGTTGGAAAGGACCTTAAAGATCATCCAGTTCCAACCCTCCCCTGCCATCAGCAGGGACACCTTCCACTTCCAGGTTGCTCAAAGCCTCATCCAGCCTGGCCTTCAACACTTCCAGGGAGGGGGCATCTACAACTAGAAGAAGAGGGAGAAGTCTGTTACGAGTGATGTGAAAATAGAAAACAAGGGAAAAGACTCTGGAAAACACAATCTCAGAATGACCTGGATTGGAAGAGCCCTTGAAGATCATCGAGTCCAACCATCAACCCACCACTGATCAGTCCCCGACTAACCCATGTCCCTCAGCACTGTGTCTACACGACTCTTCAATCCCTCCAGGGATGGGGACTCCACCACTGCCCTGGGCAACCCCTTCCAATGCCTCAGAACCCTTTCAGCAAAGCAATTTATTTAGATTTCAAGCAATTAGTGTTGTAGAAAACAGAGAGAACATTAAAAACAACCCAGGGACAACATTATCCACGTCTCCTCCGAGTCCATCTTCTCAACCATCACGAGAACGCATGAAATTTTCAGCACGTTGCAAAACTCGTAAAGTTTTGACAAGTTCTGCCGGATTTGTCTTGACAAACCAAGATGGATTTGTCCTTCATGCTCACATCGAGGCGTGACCCTTCATCCAGTCTTCTCCCCCCTCTCATTTTTCATCCAGCAACTCAACCCTGTCAGAGGTGATGGTGGGGTGGAAACACAACATTTCCAAAGCTTGGTGGGTGCAACCAGGAACTATGTGCTGAGGTATGAGACAGGGAGGGGTTCCAGAAATTCCCATCTTAACAATTTCCACGTACAGTAAATGAGTTCAAGCTGTTGCTTGCAGCAGGTGTGTCACCATCTCTGATGAAAGATGACCTCAGACTTGTATAAAAGGGCTGTCCAGGCTCTTGGATCACCACAACAGACCCATCCTCCCTCTACAAACTCTTCTTGGAGACGAAGGTAAGTAACACTGCAATGGTTCTGGTGGGAAATAAGATGAGGGAGAAGAAATTTTGAACTTGGGAGAAGCTTCATGCCATGCCTGTTCTACCTCAGGGTGATGCTTTCTACTTGGGCCATGGTAGGAGACTGGTTTTGGCTACAAGCAGGTAAATTAAGGGCATTTCTGTGCCATCTTTAGTGGAGGTGTGATGGTTTCTGCAGGCAAGGAGACCTTCAGGGTTGTCACTTGCATGGTGGCACCCACTGGAGAGCAGAATCTCTGTGCTCGGTGACTGAAAAGGGTTTGTAGACCAAAGAGGAGAGGGAGATTCACAGAGAGAGGAGGAGGAGGAGGTGCAGAGGAGCCCATACCTCAACTGTGCTCCCTACCTTAAGTCATCCTTGCTGTCATAATCATGGTACAGATCCATGACAACAGCTTGGTGACTTTGTCTCATTTGCCTGACAAATTCCTCCAGATCAGAAGAACGAGGTGCTTCTTGGGCAAAGCTAAAACTTGAGTTGATTGGGTGATGTTATAAAACAAGGATATTCCTAAGACCATCCAGCACCGAGGAGATGCCAACTGGGGGCACACTGGGTGCTGCTGCCTTGCTCAGCCGCAACAAGATGAGGCTCCTGGTGCCTGATTTTTGATGCATCTCATGGCTTTATGGTCTCTCCACACAGTTTCTGCAGGTCCTTCAAAAGCTCAGCCATGTCTGCAAGCACCCACACCACCAGCACCCTTTCTGGTACTCGACAGTTCCCCGGCAACTGCACGATGGAGATGGCTCTGAAAACCATTGTGGATGTCTACCACCGTTACAGCATCCGGGAGGGTCATGTTGACCTCCTCAGCTCCAACGACTTCAAGACACTGTTGACAGAGCAGGCACCAGACTTCCTGCAAGTTTGCGTGAGTGCCACAGGAGCTGTGCTCCTGGGTGGATATTCTCTTCATGAGGGGTTGAGTGGGATGATGAAGCTGAGGTTGCCTCAAAGGATGCTCCTGGAGGAATGGGGTACAGTTCCCATCAAGGGCTGTGGTCCATAGAGTGGGTTTCTGTGATCAGACCTAGCTTGTCCATGTCCTGTAGGACCGTCCACACTCATCCCTCCTCCCACTGCAGGGGTATAGTGCAACCAGAAGGGTTTGAGACAAGACCTTGTCCATCTGAAAGAGGGGGCGGTTTAGGTTAGACATTAGGAAGAAATTCTTTGGTGTGAGGGTGACGAGCCAGTGTCCCAGGTTGCCCAGAGAAGCTGTGGCTGCTCCTCCCTGGAAGTGTTGAAGGCCAGGTTAGATGAGGCTCTGAGCAACCTGGTCTAGTGGAAGGTGTCCCTGCTGATGGCAGGGGGGTTGGGACTGGATGATCTTGAAGGTCCCTTCCAACCCCAAACCAGTCTGGGATTCTATGATCTGGGGTTTAATTAGGGGCTGATGCCAATGCAGAAGAAGGTCACAATGATCCTCAAGCTTCCCAGGGCATGCAAGAAGAAAGTTGGTTTGGTTTCCACCAGTGGATGTGCAGCCCAGGCAAGGGACATACTAACACATGTCCTGTCCTCCAATTTCAGAACAGGAACCGTCCCGACTACTTGAGGAAGCTCTTCCAAGAGACAGACTTAAATAAGGACAAACAACTGACCTTCGAGGAGTTCTCCATCGTCTTGGCCAAGCTGACCGATGACGCCCATCGCATCAGCCATGGGGATGACCGTTGTACACCAGACAAGGATTGAGTCTCAATGCACAACCCTTGAAAACCCAAAAATAATCAGAAGAGGATTAATTGCTTTTAGGAATTGGGCTCTGGCTGCTTTCTCTCTGCTTGGATCACTCGTGCTTGTGAGACAATAAAACATCACTTGAAGTTCACCAAGTTCTATCTCAGAGCTTCCTTTTACCTCCATCTCATGGTTTTGGGTGGGTGGGCACCAGCTGCAAACACATGGTCCTGCTGGAGTTGTGGGATAAACCCTAAAAAAACCCAAACCCTCATATTGTTGTGGTTTTAACACAGCTGGCAGCCAAACACCAGGCAGCCGCTCGCTCACCCTCCCCAGCCTGGGAAAATGGGTGCTGCTTGATGATGAAGGGAGTGGAACATCTCCCTTCTGAGGAAAGGCTGAGGGAGCTGGGGCTCTTTAGCTTGGAGAAGAGGAGACTGAGGGGTGACCTCATTAATGTTTATCAATATGTAAAGGGTGAATGTCAGGAGGATGGAGCCAGGCTCTTCTCAGTGATGCCCAATGGTAGGACAAAGGGCAATGGGTGTGAGCTGGAACACAGGAGGTTTCATGTAAACATGAGGAGAAACTTTTTCACTGTGAGAGTGACAGGACACTGGGACAGGCTGTCCAGAGAGGTTGTGGAGTCTCCATCTCTGGAGATCCAAACCCACCTGGACACTTTCCTGTGTGACCTACTGTAAGTGATCCTGCTCTGGCAGGGGGGTTGGACTAGATGATCTCTTAAGGTTCCTTCCAACCCCACCACTCTGGGATTCTGTGCTTGCCCAGCAGCTGAGTTTGTAGCTGTTTGAGATGGAGAAGCTCAAGCTTGAGTGAAGGGACTGGGAAATCCCTTCCCCTGCAGCTCCAGGGTGGAAAACCTTGGGCTACTCCAGCTCCCATGGTGGTTGCTCATGCCAGGTTGCAACTGAAGCATCTCTAGCTTGATGATGCTCAAAGGTGCTCAGGAGCCAGGGTTCAGAGTCCATCCCTTGGTTTCCTCAAGCTAAAACCACATCTAGCAACCAGAACGTTATGTCCTGTCCTGATTCTGGCCTAAAACCTCCAGTGAAACACAACAAACCACACAGTGACCAACCCTCTCGTGTCCTCTTCCCACATCAACCAACCTCTTGCCCGTAAAGCATCTATTTTGAAAGAGTTTTGCAATGATGATCAAGCATGGGGTGCCTCACCAGAACTCAGGTCCTCAGGGCACGACCAAACCCAGTCACCTCCAACCAGATCTTTCTCTTGCCGTGGTTGTTGGGTTGCTCACGTGTTGCCTGATGCCCACGTCCTTCTCCTTCCCCTCTGCAGCTCCGGCAAGAGGATGTTTGCTCAACACCTTGGGGTCAGGATTGCTGCTTTGATGTGACTTACAGGCACAGCTGGACAGGGAAGGTCCTTCAGAGAATAGTTTGGTTGGAAAAAACCATGAGGATCATCTAGTCCAACCATAAACCCAGCA